CTTATGTACAATGGCATAGTATTTGAATATAACCTATGCACATCCTCCCGTATTCTTTTTAGATTATCTCTAGATGACTTAGACTACCTTATACAGCATAAATGTTAGGTAAATAGTTATTATAGTGTATTGTTCAGGGAGTAATGATAAGAAAACCTTTGTATGATATGAAATTATCTTTAATGAAAACTATCTTTAGTTCACCTGAATTTCTAAAAAAAAAATATTTTTGCTGGATACAGAATTCTTGGGTGATTTTTTTTTTCTTTCAGTACTTTAAAGATGGTGCTCCCCTGTCGACTTGTTTTCTCTAACAAGAAATCTACTATCATCCTCATCTTTGTTCACATGTGCATATGTGGGTTTTTTTCTCCTTTTGGCTGTTTTTAAACATTTATTTTCATCATTGTTAAGAGCAATTTGATTTTGATATGTTTGGTGTAATTTTTTCTTTGTGTTTCTTGTTCTTGGGCTTTATTGAGCTTCTTAGGTCTATGGATTTATAGTTTCCTCATGTAGCAAAATTTTGCCCATTGAGTCTTCAAATAGTTTCCTTTCTTCCCCACTCTTTCTTCTATTTGGAGATTCCAAGGAATCTGCTATTTATAATAGTTTATATTGTATTCTTTATTTTGTTTTTATTCTTTTTATACTTTATTTCTATGTCTAATTTTTTCACTACTTTTTTTTCTCAATGTCTAATCCCATTGCCTTTACAACTAAATGTCCCACCCAATGTTTTCCTATTAACACCATCCAGTGTATTTTTCGTATCAGACCTATAGTTTTCGTATCTGGAAGTTTGATTTTTGACCTTTATAAATGTATGCATTCTCAATTTAAGTTCTGAACATATGTACTAAAGTTGTAAGAGATGTTTTAATTTCCTAGTCTGATAATTCTAACATTTATCTTTGAGTTGGTTTCAACTAGTTGGGTGTTTGCTTGTTAGTTTATTCCTCATTATGAGCAGTGTTTTCTTGTTGCTTTGAATGCCCAGGGATTTTATTATTATTATTATTAGATGCAGACATTGTGAATTTTAATTTGTTGGGTGCTAGATCACACACACACACACACACACACATACACACATCCTCCTTGAGCTGTATTCTGGGATGTGATTAAGTTACCTGGAAACATTTTGATCCTTTAGTCTTGCTTTTTAAGATTTGTTAGGCAGGACTAGAGCAGTACTTAGCCTACAGCTAAGTAGCTAATTATTCCCCCCTACAAATTCAAGACAATTGTGAGTACCTAATTTCCTTTAAATGATGAGAGGTTCAATTCTAGTTGGTGGGAACAGGCACAATCCCTGCTCCATGTGAACATCGGGACCATTACCTCTAATCCTCTTGGCTGGTTCTTTCTAGGCCTCAGGTAGTTTCCTCGTTGCAGGGGTTGATCAGAATTCTGAAGAATACTTTCTAGATCTCTGGAGTTTTATAGTTCTCTTCTTTTATATTTTATTTGTCAACCCTAACCAGGTTGGAAATCAGGGTTGGAATGCCCGGGTTGGATTCCCTGAACTCTTACTCAAATTCTCAACTCAGAGGGTCAACCAGGTCTGCCCATGTCCCTCCTTTCCATTGTTGTCTAAGAATCCTCTCATGGCAGTAACTGGGGCCATCACAAGGTTCGCCTCATTCATCTCCCGTCTCTCAAAAATCACTCTTCTTCTTTTTCTGACCTCTGGTATCTTGAAAACCATTCTTTTACAAACATTGTCCAGTGGTGGTCAGCCTCTCTTTTCCTGTCTCTCTTGATTCAGGTGAGAAGATAAATCCAGTTCTGGTTATTTCTCTTTGTCAGAGGCAGATATTTGTGGATTTTCTTTTGTCCACCTTTTCCACTTTTCACAGCTTGCTTTTAAATTTCATGAACTGATGTTAAACATTCCAATTCCCAGAATGTTCAGTGAAGGAGAAACTCCAGCTGGACTCACTCGCTGGGATTTGGCTAATAACAGTGCAGGACCTAATTATAACCCATCTTCTGAGAGACACAAAAGGTGGGCATCTCATCTCTCTCTGTTACATGGTCAAGTACAACGAAGGGTAAGTTTGTATTTTTGAACAACTATAATAAATCATGTTAGGTCAAGAGGCAATGCTCTCATATCCATGACTAGAAATGCCCTGAAAAGAATTAATTTGTGTGGTACCCTGCAAGTCTCCCAAAAATGATGGAAAATTTTAGACACTAAGAGAAATTTGGCTCAGAGACCTAGATGTTTTTATGTTAATGCATTTCTCTCTGGAGGTAAGTAAGGTACTTTCAGAGGACATCCATTCTTTGAAGTCAGTTAGAAAATTATTGCTGCAGGGTACTAAAGAGAACCTCAGTAGCCTGACAGAGATAATGTGCCATTGCAGTGTGTTCATTATGCAAGGATGTAATTTATTGTTTCAGAACACACTACCTCCCCACCATGTGCAGGGCCAGGGTCATGAGAGTTTGGGAAAAACCAATTGGTTTCTCTCTGAATGTTTACAATGCTACAACCACAAACCATAGTGGGTTAATCACAGTGGGTATGAATTGTACCTGGATACTCCCCTCTCAAAAATTATAGAGAGCTACTCGTCAATGATTCTCAGGGTTGGAATGGGAATAGGGTCATTGAAAAGTTAAATTAACTCTACCTGGTCACCAAACATAATAAGAGCTACTAGAAAAGAATGTTCAAAATGTTATTTCTATGTGGGATTTTAAATCAATATATCTACTGATCTATATATTCCTTTAAAAAAAAAACAAAAAAACTTCTGTAGCAAAGAGCTTTAGTGACTAAAAAGGAAAAGGTAGGTGAGAGTCATTCTTTTGCACTTCATTCCACCAAGAATTAGCTTTAGTCCTAGTAAAGGTTTTGGACTAAACCATTGTAAGTCACTGAAGCTCAATGCTCTGCCTCTTGGGTAGGTGCCAAAGTAAGGATGATGACAGATGTCAGGTTGGTTCAATAATGACATTAGAAAACAAAGTTGTTCCTGTCTATGTTTGCATATACATTTGCAAGTGTATGGACACATCAGGCCCCTCTTGAGGCTGGTGAAGGGTGGTATTATGGAGGAAAAACAGGGGATAGATGTTAGAGCTTGTCTTTTCTTTATTTACTAGATCCGGTTCACACTCCCATAAGATCAAGAATCCTGCTCATTAAACAATCAAATTTTACACTTATTTATGCAACAGGATATAGAATCTATTTCATCACCTTCCTCCCCCTAAAATTTTTCAGTCTTTTAAATATTTGGAAATCATTCAATTAAAAGGGGACCAGATAACATAATAGGGCTTTATGAAGGTAACAGAACTTAAATCACAAGGCCCACAAGACATTATAGCAGCTATTTATAGTATAATAAAAATCATAAGATGGAAGATTCCATATTAAAAATTTTGGACTTGATTTATTCTGGGCTTTTGTGCTATAGGAATTCAGATCAGGGAACAATGGGCCAAGTGCTGGATGGGGAAATTGTCCAGGTGCTAGGTTTAGGTGACCCCATTCTTCCACGGTACCTTTCCTGGATTGGGTTGCCTTGACATGGGTCTGATGATTCCTGGCAAAGAGTCCCTGGTATTTGAACAACCTTTCCCATAAAAGTCCGATTGATATATTACCATTTTGAATTCTATTTTATCTCTGTTTAATTCACTTCTTATTCGCAATTATTCAAGGAGATATGTTCATTAAGTGGTTTCTATTTGCATAAGCAAGTTGGTTAAAAATGACAGATGCGAGTTCCCTAGGTATTGTGTGATAAGACACTTGGAGTGACTTCTTACATCTTAAAAGGAAAGGTTTGAAAATGGATTTCATGCAAGCATGTTGTTATGGCGTAAGGCTAAAAGCTAAAGGAGCTGTTTCATTTTTAATAGAAGTGTGAACGCTCGTGTTTAAATTTCTTCTTATTCCTGAACCTGAATACCCAACACTTGTTCTTATACACAGAATACCTTAGCATCAAATACAATGTCTCCTGGGAAGTTTCAACAAGGGCATGGGACTCTTAACAAAAACCATGCCCAGGAAATTTTCATTTTTAGTTAAATATCATGTCAATGCCTAAAGGGATGCTCAAGAATGAACATGTATGACAAACAAAACAATAAAATATATGTAAAAAGTAAGGGTAGGTTTCTCAATCCAATAGTTCCAAGTGTGGCAGGTAATTTAATTTTGAACTTTCAGGTTTTAGAAAGAATGGAATGTTGTTTATAAAAAGTACAAACGATGCTCATGAAGCACCTCACCATGGTGGTTTATGCTGCATTTTGTGCTGTCACTGCCTTTAGGACTTGTTCTTACTAGCCCAATTGTGTTCTATAACTATACATGTTGCTTTGCAACATTGCGCTGACCCAATTCCTGTTTATTTTTACCAAAAGTAATAATTTACTCAAAGGAAAAAATGTGCAAACTAAAAACACAGAACATGTCCTATTTATGTTGCACAATTCGTGATCAGAAACTCATAAATACATTAGCAGAATGTCTTATTCCATTGCATTGCAGTCAGCAAGTCCAAAATGAAGTTTGGGATTTTGATGAAGTTTAGGATTCAAATATGACCAGTGGGAAAACTGATTTCATGCATGCAAGTAAAGGCAGCATGGCGGTATGGGGTGCAGCTGCCAGCTCAAGGGGCTCTCTCCTTTTTAATAGATGCATGAAGAATTATATTCAAATTTCAAAACCACTCCCTGGAAACTTTCACTTTTAGCTTGATATCATGTCCATGCATAAAGAAATAATTAGGAATGAGCCCATATGACAACCAAAACAATGAAGCATTTCAGAGAAGAAGAGACACAGAAATAATTAGTAAATTATTGAAAATGAGATACCAGAATTATTAAATGTAGTGGACTGGGGTTTTTTTAGGGTGTAAAACTATATTAACCATCTCTATTTCAGTTTCAGGTATGATTCTAACAAGTTTTCAGTAATTGCACATTTTATGGAAAAGGCGTAATGGGAAAGATACTCTTACCATCTGTTTTCTTTGAATCATTTCCGATGTTGGAGTGATCCTTCTTGTCTGTCTTATTTTTACCATCTTTCAAGTCACCTGAAAGCAATAAACGTGACAAACAGTATATGTATATAGCTGAGGGGGAAGTTATGAATATCTCTAAACCTGCCAAGGTAAAAAAAAAGTGTGGCATAATTTTATAGTCACAAGGGAGTACATGTCTCAGTGTAAGCATCTTCCATCACCACGTGTTTGATTCTGGTAATTGGATTATGAAAGGAAATCAAGATTGAAAGTTCCTATCAAACAAGGTTGTAATTAAGTCCACAGTGTTTATCTTCCAAGAAAGGCGGTTCAGAATTATGGTTAGACTGTGGAGTGAGGAAAAGTCTGGGTCAAGTGTAAATTCTACCAATTAATAGCTATTTAACATCTCTGTGCTTCAGTTTTCTTATCTGCAAAATGGGTATATAATGTGTATCTACTGGCATTTAAAATGTATAAATACTGAATATGATACTGCTCAATGATAGCTGCTATTATTCTAAAACAGAGCTATAAATAGTATTCTAATTAACAAGCTTGTCAGAGTATAATTTATAAGGTTAAAAATTTCACCCTTAAACAAATGTAGAATGAACATGTGTGAAAAATACACTGAACTCATGTATGAGGGAGATGGTAAGGATGGTTCTAAGAGCATTTAAGGAAATAGGCATTTTAGAGACATGTTAAAATAAGATTACTAAGAGACAGAAATGTTTATACTCCACAAGGCAATAAAACTATAGCCTTTTTGGTTATCTTCTCTATCAGTCAAAATTTTCCAAATTAGCATATAACGCCAAAGTTATAAGAGTTAATTAGTAAATAGCAAAATAAGACACAGCCATATTCTCCAAAAGCAGGGTTCAGCAGATTAAAGACTATGGGCCAATCAGGCTTGTCACCTGTTGGGGTCAATAAAGTTTTATTGGCATGCACTCATACACATTCACTTACATACAGTCTGTGACAGCTTTCATGTGGCAAAAATTGAAACAACCAAAAATATTTTCTGTCTAGCCCTTTAAATAAAAAGTGTGCTAATCCCTGTCTAGGGTAATTTAATGATCCTTTGGCAGGTCTGTTCAAATTAGGCCAGTGTCATACCAAAAGATCATGGATACCTGCCCCCAGCTTTATTTTAAAGTTTTGGCATATTTATTTTTAATCAATCTTACTAATAGAAGCTTTCTTTTTAGCCCTGCATACATTTAAGAATACGTTACAACTCAAATGTTGTGTACTTACTGAAGCAAAAAGATCCTAATCTAACTAAAGTGAGGATAGTATCCAAGCCTCCAAGATGTGTATGTAAGGAAAAGGATTTATCTTTTTGTTTTTTAGCTTTGTGCCAGGAAGTGTGCTAAATGCTTTGTACGCATCATTTCATTTAATTCTTACAGCAACCTCATTATGAAGGAACTGCTATTGGAAGTAGATAAACTCATCAAAGATTCACTCATTAAATGGTCAATTTGCTAAATTATCAACTCACCAAATGATTGAGGATGTTTTACAAGTTTGAATTTTTCCTGACATCATTGCAGCCACCTGGGCAAACTCTAGCCAGTCCATCTGCATCTTGTGTAACCCACTGTCCCAGCATGCATTTCAGACACTCCCCTGGCCTGGCCTCTGATCCCAACCTTATATCCACATCTCCCTCTGGTGGCAAAACTATTCCAGTCAGCTACTATAGATCTGGTTTAAGCCACTTGTCTGACAGGTTTTTTTTGTTTTTGTTTTAACAAATGGTCAATAGATCTTTCTACAAAGTACTCTCACTTAAGTCAACTTGTAAGGAATTGACCTGAAACACATATGACATATCATCCCTATATTATGGCCGAGGAATCTAAGGTGCACATGTTACACCACAGCCCACGAGGGTGGGTCTGACTCTAGAGACCAAGTTTTCAACTATTGTAGTTATAGCTTCCCTTCAAAGCTCAATTTTTTGATTTCAGGTTTCCATTTCTAAATGCCTTTGGATCTTCAAAGAAATGATTACCTAAGGCTAATGCAAGGCTATTTTTGGCTGTGATCCAGTCTATGAAGTTTGTACTTCTAATTGGACAAATCCTAAGCTAAATTAGATGTTAATAAACTCCAGGTTTTTCTCATTCTTAATTCAGAAATGGGAAGAATGGAGAAGAAGGGACGTCTACCTTGCCCTGGGCCCAAATAGGACAGGTTTAAATAAAGGACATGATTATCTCCTTCTACCACCAGCACTTGTCCAAAGAGAAGGGTCTCTTTAGAAGTCCCATGAAACAATCCCCACAACAGCCTTTCCTTCTTTTAGGACACCAGAGATGGACTCAAGGATCTCAAGCCGTGTAGTCAAATTAGTATCATGCAGAAAAATAACCCTTCTTCCAGAAGCGAGCTTTCACACCCCACATGCACTCTATTTTAGGCCTTCCAGCTTGCTCTGAACTGGAGTTTGACCCACAGCTGCAGCAAGACCAAGATGTCTTCCTAAAGTCAGCAGAAATGGTTCGATTTGCTGGATGCCAGCCAGCAGCCCATGCAGCCTGTATACTCAGCCAGGGTCTGCAAGGCTGAAGGAAGAAGTTGCCTTGATCCAGAGCTTAAAGGAACCTGTAATTGGCAAGAGAAGAGCAAACCCCCAGAACTTCTCTAACCAATATCCTTCAGCCCTCACCTGGAAAATGCCTTGGGCAACCCACAAGGAGGGGTGCCTAGGAAAAGACCCAGGCTTATTTGATGATGTTCCCTGAACAGAACCCATTAGGCAATTTCCCATGGGTTGGGCATAGAGTAATGGCTGATGTGAGCTGTTACTCAATAAACAGGGGCAAACAGAAGAGCCTTTCTGGGCAGTTATAAATCATTTTAATTAGGCTGCTGTAACAAAGTCCCCAATCACCATTAGCCTTTCTTATTATTGCTCTGAATTGATTTCTTTTCCCACCTCTGATTTCATACTCAATTTTTAAGGGAAATGGTAGGCTAGTGCTTTGGAAAATAAACACAGCTGTGGAATCAGGCCAGCCTTGTTGGAGAGGCAGGCTCCTGTGTCTTTCAGGATCCCTACACCCCTGACATCTTCAAAATAAATTGCTGTCCCCTCTGCCCTCTCTGAGTCTTTGTAGGATTTATGACCATTTTTTTGTGTGTCTGGCTTGTTAGTGTTTATTGGTTTCTCTTACTGACTAAGCCAAGGGTTAGCAAACCAGGACCCAGGGGCCAAAGCTGGCCCTGCTGCCTGGTTTTATTATCATCCACAAACTAAGAATGGCTTTTATATTTTTTAAAGGACTGAGAAACAAAAAGATGGATATTTTGTGATGTGAACATCAGATGGAATTCAAATTTTAATTTCCATAAATAAAGTTGTATGGGAATACAGCCTCAATCATTTGCTTTGGTATCATTGTGTCTTTCACGCTAAATGGCAGTGTTGAGTAACTGTAACAGAAACCAGATAGCCCCAAAGCTGCAAATGTTTACTATATGGTCCACTATAGAAAAAGGGTGCCAATCCCTGAAACAAAAAGATAACTGTATAGACTGCAGGCACAACTCCTATTTCTCCTATTCCCCACTTTCTCTGCCATCACCAAATCTGCAAATGATAAGGGTGTGGCAGTTATATAATAGAGAATAGAGACACCCACGAAACTGAGTTTCGAATGGAATCTCTACTGAAAGGTAACTTGACCTTAGGCAAGCGATTTAATCTTAATTTTTCCAACTGTGAGATGGGAATAAGTATCTTAAAAAGTTGTTAGGATTTTTAAATGCTTTAATCTTAGGTAAAATCTCAAGATACAGCATCTGGCACATTAGGTATTCAATAAATAGCAGTACTGTTATGATTACTGTTTTTATTCAAGACATGTTTAGCCAGAAGAAAAAAGGAAGGAAGAAATGCATTTTTCCTCTTCTGTGGCCCCTCCTTTGGAGGAGTGATTTAGCTAGGAGGAGGAGCCGAGTTACCCAGAGCTCACCCCAGCCACCAACTTCCCTTCCGTGCATTTTCCACAAGACTCAACATATTCAGTCCCTGCTGGGGGGTGGAGGCAGTGAGCCCAAAACATACATGGTTCTCCCAGTGTCGAGTTGTAAAGCTCGGCTCAGGTCAGATGCAGGAAGAAGCCCAGGTGCTTAGTAGAACAAGTCCATGTTCCCAGGCCAGCTCCAGTTGCCATGGAACTGACAACTTCATCCTTGACTTTCTGATTTTCTTATCTATTTCTTTGTTGGTTCAGATCTCAGGAGGGGAAGAGAGGGATGGTTTGTATCACCCTCTAAAACTTCAACAGGAGCATCATAAATTCTTATTAACAATTTTTTTTTTCTGGATGATGATGCATTTGACTACAAAACCTACTAAAATGTCTCCAGAACCAGGCTGATAGGGACTGGACTAGCTGGAACAAAGGCCTTCCCTGTCACTTAAGAGTGGTTATGAAGATTAGCTGAAGGAACTAATGCAAACTTCTTGGAGTGTGATATGAGCTATTATCATCATTATATGTTTTAAAATACTCTTTTATGATTATACATAAAACATGGTATATATACTACTATTTTTAAAAGTTAGAGACTGTCATGTAAGTACTTTGCACTATTTCTCATTTCCCCAGGCCCTGTAGCATAATAACTATAGCTAGAAGAAATTGCCTGGTCCTACCGTGCAGGTAAGAAAATGAATATGGAAAGAGAGAACTTAAAACAGCACCTGGCATAAGTCAGTAGATGCTATTGGTTGTTATTTTCTTTGTAGTTTTTGGTACCATGATTATTATTAAGGCTCATAAGAGAACCATGCTGTATGTACATTGAACAGAGACAATGGAAGGTTAAATAACATGGCCAAGGCCACCAAGAAGAGGCAAAGATGTAACTTGAATCTGGGTCTGTCGGACTGCAAAGCTATCTTGCTACCCAGTCACAACCTGGCACTTGTAAGCTGCAGACTCTGAACTTCCTGCCCTTCCCGAAACAAGGGGACCAAGTCCATGCCCTTGAAGGGCATTCATCAAGTCCTCTGTGTCTGGAAGCCTCTTTTCCCTATTTTATCAGCATACTTCAGCTCTTAACACCTAGCTGAGGCCCCATCTCCTCTTGAAGCCTTCTCTGCCTTCACCCTATCTCACACCTTCCTGTTCCAACAAAGTTAATGTCTTTCTTTGCAGTATGTTTTTTGGGGGGCATTTTATCTGCCACACCATGGCTGTTTTCTGTCTGCATTTCACTAGAATTATTTGTGAGGCTGTCTATATTCCCTATGACATCATAGATTTTCTGGGGCTTCTTCATTCTAAATCCCCCATGCCTAGTAAAGCACTTGACACATAGTTGTTAATGAATCAATATCTGTTGTATCAAATATAAGACATCATGAATTAGCTGCACATTATGGTGGCCAGCTCGTCCCAGCTTGCCTAGAACATTTTTCTGTTGTTTATTTTTGTTGTTTGTTTCTGTTGTTTATTTTTTATATTTGTTCTTATTAGTTATCATGACAGTAGAATGTATTTTGACATTTATGGAGTACAACTTCCCATTCTTTTGGTTGTACATGATATAGAATTATACTGGTCATGTGTTCATATCTATATATGCACATAGGAAAGTAATGGCCTGGACCATTTTTTATTTTAAAACTGAAAGTCTTGCTGGGCGCAGTGGCACATGCCTGTAATCCCAGCAGCTCGGGAGGCTGAGGCAGGAGGATCACAAAGTTCAAAGCCAGCCTCAGCAAAAGTGAGGCACTAAGCAACTCAGTGAGACCCTGTTTCTTAATAAAATACAAAATAGGGCTGGGGATGTGGTTCGGTGATTGAGTGCCTCTGAGTTCAATCCCCTGTACCAAAACAAAACAAAACTGAAAGACTTGCATTCCAGGAAATTCTTAGTTTCAGGCAAATTAAAATGGTTGGTCACCATAATACCTGCACGTCTCTGGGTGGTATGTACATACAAACAGCAAGAGGCCTCAGGCAGACCTAAGGCTTGGCTCTCCTGGGGCTGGAACAATTGAGAAGTTCACTTTTCATCCACCCCCCCAGTGAGCTCCCAGGACTGTGCTGGTGTGGTCAGTGGTAATTTGCACCTGGTGGGCAGCTGGGCACTGGCTAGAGTCTCCAGGGCAGCTGGGAGAGCCAGAGAGATGCAAAGCTTCCTAGGGGGAAGGCGCAGGGGAGCTGGTGGCTGATTCTGATGGGATCCTGCTGACATCCCCAGCCAGAGGAGGTGGGATCAGCAGGATCCGATGGTCAGGGAGGCCCTGGGCCAGGAGTTGCCGACATGGGGAAGCATCTGGCCAGCTCCCACTCATCACACTGTGAACACCCCAGAGAACCACTGTCCAGCCGGCAGTCTACTCACCATTCTGCTGCTTTTCTCCTGACTTCTCCGCTTTGGGATTCTTCCCACGAGGCTCGTCGCTTTTGTTTGTGCGAGTTCCGTTGACGTGACTCTTGGGGTCTCCAGATGCCTTTTTCTCAGTCTTGCTGGATGAGCCTTCTTGGGCCTGGCTTTTGGCTTCCATTTCCTTTTGCTTCTCCTCTGCAGCCAGGCGGGCCTTCTCCTCAGCCTCCTTCTTGGCCTTCTCCTCTGATCCGCAGCAAGTCAGGCAAGGAGAAGGAAGCGGGGAAAGAAGTCACACCTTTAGGAGAACTGCCTCTTTCAAAAACAGTAATGACAGTGATCTGCAGTGGGAATTAATACACTCCAATTACCTAAGGTGTCTAGTGCGTGTTCTGAGGGTATTTTTAGTTAACCCAAGTCATATTGGCATATGTATTTAGGAAGACAATAAAACAGCCTCATCATCATGTCATTTCTGAAAACAGTGAGTCAGAGGAGAGGGCAGGGAGAAAATCATTAGGATGACAATGATTAATGAACCAGTATTGTATTGGACATTATTATTACTAATAATAACATTTATTGAGTATGTTCTCTAGGCCAGGTATTATGTAAAGTGCTTTTCGATTCAAGGGTTTTTTTCATTCATTTTTTTGGGGGGAGGGTACCAGAGATTGAATTCTGGGGCACTCAACCACTGAGCCACATCCCAAGCCCTATTTTGTATTTTATTTAGAGACAGAGTTGAAGTTGCTTAGTGCCTCACTTTTGCTGAGGCTGGCTTTGAACTCACAAGCCTCCTGCCTCAGCCTCTTGAGCTGCTGGGATGACGGGCGTGTGTCACTGCACCTGGCTCTTTTCATTCTTAAAACAACTTTTCAGCAGCTACTGTTATTATGACCCTATTTATAGATATGGAAATTAAGCCTCAGAGAGAAGATAAAAGTTTCCTCCAGCCACAGGGAAAAGAAAAAGAACAGCATTTTATGTAGGTTTGCTTAGGACCTAGACATACGTGATTAATTGCAAAACAAAAAGGGCAAATAACCAACAACAGAACAATACATATTCAGGCCACTGTTTGTTAATTAATAAATAAGAAGAGGACAGTTGTGCCCAAACAAACATCGTCCTCAACTGTCCTCAGAATTAGAGTGGCTGTTAGGTTGGCCAGGTACTGAGTCTGTGTCCTCCCCTTTAATGAAAGTGCATCAGCATTATTTCAAATTCAGCTGATTATGAAAGGGCTTGGCTCTGTGCTTAATGTAAAGTACAGCATCACTGCATAGGTCAAATATTTATGAAAAGGTTGGTTTTTTCACTCAATGAATATTTATTGAGCAGCTACAGTGTCAAGCACTCTTTTAGGTATTGGGAATACAATCACAAGCAAGATGGAATCATGGAAAAGCTCATTTTTAAACAAACAAATGACTGAAATAATTTCAAATGGTATAAAGTGCTTTGCAAAAAAACAAAGCAGAGTGAAGTAATGAAATACCATCAGCTTTAGAAATGTTCAAAGGACAATGAGTTGGCCACTATGGCCAAAGCAGATTTGGCAAATGGTCACTAAGAGATGATGTGGTCAAATGGCCAAGGACAGGCAGGGTTCAGAACATGCAGGGGCTGGGAGGCATCCAGGGGAGCTCTGTGGAAGAGAACAAGATTCATGGAAAGCTCCCAGCAGGGCCCAATCCTCCTTGAGATCTAGAGACTCACTCTCTATATGTTCAGCTCACTCAAAAGGCCTTCTAGACTGTGCCATCAACCTCCACTGTGAAAAGCATGGCTATATTTTTCTCTAGATGTCTTAAAAATGCCCACATCTCATTATCAGGAGTCCTCTCCCCCCTCCCCACCGTGTTAGTCCTGGTCTTGAGAAAAACCTGGACTTCATAGATGGTATGTTTGTTTTTAATCAAGCACACACAAGAGTGGTTATGCATCTGATCATGTTTCCCTTTGTTTTAGCTGCTAAAGTGCTCAAAGTTCAAATTTTACTTTTCCTGCCTATTTGCTCACCTCAAATGTTCTCCTTAACATATTAGGGCATTTTCATCCATTATTTTATTGCTCCATCAACCCATCTATCCATTCACCCACCTACCCACTCATCCATTCACTCATCTGTCCAAACCAAAGGCCTGGCCTCACCCCAGACAAATTAAATCAGATTCTGAAGAGACAGGGACCAAAATAGGATATGTGAAATGTTTTTTAGGTGATCCAAACAAGCAGTAAGGGTGGAGAAAGACTGATTCAAAGTTTAAGAGTTTGCCATTCAGCATGTCATGACTCTCTACTTCCCAACACGATTCTTTACAGCTTACATTGAAAGGAGAAGGAAATATTTCTTTATAAATAACAAAACGACGTGCCTACCTATCATGTCTTCTAACTTCTACAGAAAGGTATGACATAAAAGTGAAAGAACGCCCACGTGGATGGCAAGACGGTATTCCCAGTGGACTGCAGGCCACAGAAGATCCCTAGAATGCTCCCCCATGCTCCCCCTCATCCTTCTGTAATGCCCTAAGGATAGGGGTTAAATGTCACCTCCAATCACTGCTTGGCACAGCACCTGGCACACAGCACATATTCATGAAGGACCTGTTGACTCAGTGAAATGTACCCCAGGGGTGTGGTGGACACTCTCTACCAATGTACCTTCCTTGTCCGTTTTCCATCTTCAGCTATCTAGATGAGTACACAATACAGAAAATATGCCTACTGTGAAAGAGTCATGTGTTGAATATTAGCTTCCTTTAACTGCTAAGGTGAGTAAAATTATGACTGTTCTGACTACATGGGGAAGGAATCTGAGGCGAGAAGGAGGAGAATTCATGTATACTCAGCCTTCAGAATCAGGGAAAACAATTTATATCTCTTCCAACAGTATCCCTACTGCTGACAAGCTGTCAGCATTTAAAATATCCCTAAGTTGAACATAATTTTGATGAAAAGTGAAGGTGTTAAATTCTGGTTTGCTACCAAAGACCGTAAAATATTATATGAGCAAGAAAAATTCATTTGACAACTAAGTCAGACCAATTTTCCACAGGAATCTAACAAAAGTTTTGTTTAAAAACTGAGAGGAGACATATTTCAGAAACAAATCTGCTTCAGCTCAAGTGCGGCTGGCATCGGGCAATTAATGTTTAAATTCAGGAATTTAAATGCATTCTTTTGGCATCATGATCAAATTAGATATGAGCCTTCCTCCCTGTGTAGTTCATTCCTCTGCAGTGATCACTTTCAAGAGGGTGGCTCTGCTCATGTCTGAAATAGCTGATACAAGTGCCATCGGCCCATAGGGTACCCTAAAAGATAATACTCAAAACAAATAGCAAAAACAAGCAAACACACAGACAGAAAACAACGCAGCAACAGGAGGCAGGCTCTCTACCGCAATCAGATTCCTTCATGTTTCCAAGGTGAAATTACTAGTACAGATTAATAAGAAAAAAATAGGTGGCCACACTGTTGATTGGTTGGCACTGTTAATTGGTTCATACCAACAGGTTCCAATGATGTTACGGATACAAAGGACACATTTTCAAGTCTGAGGTTTAGCATCCTTGGCACCCCTAGGCCTCTAGGCTAGCAGGATTCAAGTTTCATTTTCTAATTGCTTTCCATTTCAAACTATGTGTCACGATGTGACTCACTATGAAAATGGCCAATGGCAAGCAGCTCAACAGTTAGGGTGGAACAGAGCCCTCAAGATCCAGTAATTACATTCCTCCTAACAGACAGCTGATTCTGCCCCACACTGAACATCTGTAGAGACTCAAAGAAACACACTTGATTTCTTTATTATTTACATTCTTGAACAATAATACTATGGGCTCTGTAGTTAATAATGCATTGGGATAGTTACTCGTTGATATAATTTTCTGAATCTGTACTTAAACTACCACAAACAAAGAGAAAGAAAAAAAAAAAAAAACAGGAACAGGGGACTGACAGACAGACTGGGGGGGAGGGCGGTGGCCCTGGGAAAGCAACCAAAACACTACGTGATCTTTCCATTGTGTTCAGTACCAGAAAAATAGAAAGGAACTTTCAGGTACATCTAAGAACTCACAGGTGTTCCCATAGCAACTTCCCGAAAATTTTAGTCAAAGAAGTACTACGGGTGACAGAAAATTTCAATTAATGCTAAAAACTCAAAAATGAGGAAAACATGTCAATTGGGTAAGTGAAACGTGCAAGTGAAACTAGTGAAATTTATTGCCAAATAAAATTGTTGCTAAACTAGAAATGAAATTTGATGAAACTATGAAAAAACAATATTTAAGAGTAATTTGATTATAAAAGAACACTTCACACCAGGCATAGTGGTGCATGCCTGTAATCCCAGCAGCTCAGGAGTATGAGGGCAGAAGGATCCTGAGTTCAAAGGCAGCCTCAGCAAAAGCAAGGTGCTAAGCAACTCAGTGAGACCCTGTCTCTAAATAAAATGCAAAATAGGGTTGGGGATGTGGCTCAGGAGTGGAGTGCCCCTGAGTTCAATCCTTGCTACGTTCCCTTAAAACAAACAAACTTCACTTATAACCAACTAGTTTGAAATTCCCCTCTTCAATAAAAGCTGAGAATTGATGAAGGAAATGAGCAAAAATTAACTGAATTTCTCAACATTGCAATGAAGCATCACTATATACTCTTCCATGTATACATTTATGGAGAATTATAATTAAATAGAAAACCTTAAAAGTAATTTCTAAAAAATGAAATTAGGAGGTATAAAAAGAAGAGGCCATAAGCAAAGTTAACAGCATAAGACCAACTGGGGTAGAGTACAAATTGGAAGATATTTTGACAACTGAAGAATTACCGTCCTCAATATATAAAAATAATTATGACTCAATGACATGAATGTAAACATTCTGATGGAAAAATAAAGGAGGAAATGGTAAACAGAAATAGGCATTCTTACTATATGTCCAATTGAGAGAGAAAATTTCTTTAAAAATTTAGAGAAATTTTATAGTATAATAACCAAGAATTTAAAAACTTTTCATCTGCCTTGACAGAGGAATATCAGATCTAGGAATTTATACCAGATAAATAATCTGAAGTATGCTCAAAAACTTTTGAATATGTAGGTACATAATAATGTTATATGTAATAGTGAAGTGGAAATCTAATACTGAATAATAAAGAAGGATTCAACTATGGTTCTGTAGATGATGGAGCCACTTAAGTCAGAATATGCAGCATCAGGTTAAATAATACTCAGAATAGAAAAAAAAAAATAGAATACAACACATATTCTAGTATGATCCCAATTTGGTAGGGGAAATGTTTACTTACACATATACATAGTTAAACAAATAAAAAAGAATGACTTTAGGATATGAACTGCCGCAGTCTGGCTGGGCACAATATAGTTAAAATCCTGAATAGGTCATAAGCACTTATGGCCTAAACACATATTATTCTTACATCAGAAAATTCATGTTAAAATATATTAAATATGGGATGGAAATTGATATAGATCTGACTTGCAAACTGTTATACAGAATATCTTGATTGGGAATAATGATATGTAGCCCTAAAAGTTATAAAAAATTGTGATGTAACATTTCCTAAGAACTATGGATTCTGGCCTAGTTGGCTTTGTAAATTAGGTTGGTTAATAAAACCAAGACTTGTGATCCAATTCCATTTCCAATCAGTTTAATGACAATATATGTTTAAATGCCACATGGAGGGCAGACACTTTTGAAATCAGGGTCCTCTGAGGGGAAATGGGGAAAAACAAAGCAATGTGAAACACAGCCTGGGATTATCTAATCAAGCTGACCACCAAAACAAATGCAAACCGAACTTCTCATTAGTATCAGTCAAATAGTCAACAGTATTACCAGGAAGCCAAAAATGTTATAAAAACATTAGCTTTAGGTTGGTATTTTTACCACCTGCATCTTGACTTTGCTTTACAACTGCTAACCTTCTTTTCTAAAGTATTTAAATAACAGCTGCCATTTATCAGGCACTACCATGTGCAGGCTCTGTTCTTAGTGCTTTGCATGTTATCTCTCTGTGCATCAAGTCTGTCATGTTCATTATCATGCCCAAAGTGGACTCTAAAAGAACCCAGCTGAATTTGCCAAAGAACCTTGCAAGTCAGGATTCAATTCTCCATTTGCCCACTTACTGAAATCTGCCTTGGTAACCAAATGATCTTCCCACAAAATACCCATAACCCGGGCTCTGCACCTGGATCCTCTCCTTTCTCCTTGTTCCCATTTCTAATGCCTCCTTCAGGTCCACTCAGGTGTTCTTCAAATCCTGACTACACAGGGCCTTACGAAAGGCCCAAGCAGGGTGAGGGAATAGTTGTTCTATGCTGCTAAAATAGCCTAACACATCTTTATCTGCATACCTAATACATTGAAAAATTTGAGCTATTTACCTGTCCTTTTTTAAAAAGCCAGTTTTCCATAGGAAAAGAAATTGCCTAGTATTTTCCCAGGTAATTAGTTTCAGAAAGTAATTTTTGTAAGCTAGATGATTGCAAACAAACTATTTTGAAGTACCTCTTTAAACTGTGCCTTGTCAGGACTTGGATTTTCAAGTGCAATTGATTGCGAGTGTGTGCTTCTTTTGACATGATGCAGGAGCTGCCATGGCTGCTTGCAATGCCTGCCAACATGGAGGATTTGAATGTTTACAGCATTTGAATGGACTGCGAGACCTCCAACACTTAAAATATGGAAGAGGTGTTGGCTCCCTCTGCAGCTCAGGGTGCAACATCTGTCCCAAATGATAAGGGTCCAATTATGCCCTAGAAGCACCCTAAATACAAACACTTTGCCTCTCCTCAATGAGCAGCCATGTGGACAGGATTTTGTGGGCAAGTCACATTGTTGGACTTTTAAATAACTCCAACAGTGAGGCTGCTCCTCTCCACTGATGTATAAGGATCGAGACTTATACAGTCATGCTCTTCCACTATATGGTATCAAAGTATCCTCCAAATTTCACAAGTTGAAAATTTAATCCCTAAATTTATACATTGCTTCAAGGTGGGACCATTGGGAGGTAATTAGGATTAGAAAAGGTCATAAGTCTGGGCCTTCATGATGGCAGGAGTGACTCTGTAGAAAGGAGAAGAGAAGCTGAGCTAACATGCTTGGTCTGCCTCACCAAGTGATGTCCTCCACTAGGCAGATGCCAAGAGTGTGTTCTTGCACTTCTTAGCCTCCAGAACTGTGAAACAAATACATTTTTTAGTCTTTATAAATTTCCAAGCTTAGGTATGTTCTTATAGCAACAGAAAATGGACTAAGACATCCACCATCCCACCCTTCTTTTCACACGTTGCCCTGAAACTGGGAGAATAAAATTGTGGGGAGTGTGTTTGGGTTAAAACCCTCCTTGACTGCTGTGAGGGTCTGGGGCTCAGGGTTTGTGGAGGCTGGTGACAAGTACAAGGTTGCGACTGAAGTCCTACGCTTCCTATGCAGGCAACTCCAAAGTAATGTCTCTGTCCCTCTCCTGCCAAAGACTGCCACCACTGAGGATAAAGATGATGTCTGTTACTCATCTCTATGTCCTCAGCACTAGACACACCACAGATGTCAGCAAAAACTGACTATTGTTGAAGGCTCACCTCCACACAGCTCACTGGAATCAGGCCCTTCACTGAGCCCCAAGAGTCACCCACATCTGTATCTCTGGCTGGAACCAGGCCTCACAGCTTTACCCCCTCACATCAGGTTTTTGCCACCTCTGTTTATGGTGCCTCCGGACCTAAGATACAGGCTGCTCACGTAGCACATGCTGATCGTGAAGTTCATTTGTTCACACCAGCATGTTAAGCTTCCAAGAAATGAGTGAATTTCCGACTTTGTGAATAGTCCCACAAGACAGTTTTTCTGGTCTGAACTTTTGATGATGTTTACTCAGGGGATTCTGTTTACTTACAAGTCACACCATCTCAGAAAAGCAGTTTTACGGTCGGAGCAATGAGTGAATGGAAATAGTGAATATGAAAGAAACATAAAAATGCATGCACATAAGGAAAGAAAAGCTCCTAATATCCCAATATAATGGCCAAGGTGGGTATTGGCTGGGCTTGGCTTAGGCAAAAGAAAACAGTAAAGGCCTCAGAACATGAAATGAGTCTGTCAAGATGGTCTAACAAAAACCAAGAAATAATAATACCCATCCCCCACAGAATCATCACACCAGGAAAAAGAGTCCAGTTAAATCACAAAGGGCAAGATGGCAGGAGGCACCGAGGCCTGCCACAGTTTACCACACATTGAGTTTCAGGTAATGAAGATCAAAGATGGGAGAGCCTAATATTCATTGACTGCAGCACCCTGAGCACTTGTGTTTTATTTGCAACATTCATAGTCAGGGAAGGCAACCATTGCTTCATGAGTGAATGCTGAGTTGGTTTAGGTGTCCTAGAAGATTCTTTCCCCCATAGCATATTACCTTTTGGCACCTTGGCTCTCCATCTCTCCCGATTGATGTGCACCACCTCCGTCCAAGTGGCTTTAAAGCTCTTATAGTCAACAGGGATAACGGAATTGTTGATGGGGGCACTTCCTTCCGACCCAGAGCTCTTGACACCTGATCGCTGCTTTGCATCTGATGAGCTGATGCTGTTCAAACTGGAGGACAAAACAAGAAATTGCACGGAAGAGGGGTGTTACTGTTTGAAAGACTTATGCAACAAGCAAACCCAAGAGAAAGGCAGTTAGCACTCGTCAATATGTTGTCATAAAATTCCTGGGTCCTGAAAATATATTCCTGGAAATACATTTTCTAAATATGAAAGGTGGGAAATTCTAAATTTTCAGCAGGAAAAATATCGACCCTGCATCCTCAGGAGTCTTCACAGTCCTCCTTCTCTTCTGTGCTGAGTGATCCCTTCTTTTTTCCTGTACCTAGAATCCACCCACATGAATTTTCCAGTCTATTATCTCATATAAATGAATTTGAACTTGGAAATCTACTTGTTACACAGTTTACCCCCTGCTTCTACACTGGCTGCTTTTCCAAGTTACCCAGCAATTTGGTCCTCTCTCTCTCCTTCTCCAGCTCCTCCCTTGTCCTGGACTCAGTGTCCCTTTGATCTTGGTTTTCTGAGTACACAAGGAGTGAGGATTTCCTCATGTGCCTTGGAGATGACAGAGAAACACACACAGCTTGGAGGTTGTGGAGGATGAAGTTGTGCAAAAGGCCTTACTTTAAATGAATACTACTTTATTCTTTGAATGTGGGTGATTTAGCAAATATCAGAAAATACCATCCTCAGAGGCTAAGGCAGTGACTGGCATAAATGACTATGACAATGAAGACCAATTTGTCACTAAATGACAGTGAAGACTGCCTGGAGAAGCAAAGTAAGTTTCAACCAGTGCTTAAAGAGCCCTGGGATTGTGAGGACTTGGTCACGGGCTTCTGTCCTCTTTGTTAGCAACCTCAATGGTAGTCCATCTTGAGTATCCCTGACATCTCCCTGACCTAATGTTCCTCTTACTTCCCTCCTCCCCATTAACTTCTTTTCCTGATCTTTTCTTCTCTTCTTCCTATCCACTCTATGTTTTTTCCTCCTTGATGATGAAGCCCAGGGTTTTGCATGGATGAGGAGGAGAATGTCATTATAGTAGTAGCAGTAGTAACAGTAGCAATAGTGTATAGTAACACTAGCTATAGTAGTGGTGGAGGTATTAGTAGTTTTCATTCAAGTCATAGTGGTGGCAGTAGTAATAGTACTAGCAGTAGTAGTAATATAGGTGTAGTAGTTGTAGGAGCAGTGGCGGTAACCCTGCCAATAAAGACTAATTGCCAGCTTTAATGCAGTTAAATTTAATGCCAGATTCTGTTCTAAGCAATTATATAATGAATAACTCACTGAATCTTCCCAGCAACCTATGAATATTATAATCCATACTTTCCCAGATGAGGAAAACGAGGAACCTGCCTGAGACTGCACAGGTAATAAGTGATGGAGTCTGGATTCTAACACCAGCACGCTCACTCCAGAGTCTGAGTTCTCCTAGTCTACACTCTTCTCCATTTGGAACAACAGCACTGAAGCAGAAGGCAATTAAAAATGTTCAGGTTTTTTTTTTTTCTCTATTCATTCTCTTCTTGAACCTAGAAATGAAAGTCAGTTTCAGTTCTTGTAAGAACTCTGATCAGTGGTACCATCTTTTTGAAGAATCAGGAGCAAGGCTGTCTGGGAGCAGTAGGCTAAAGTTCAGCGGTTGCTCCTGCCATGAGCAAAGGCCAAGAGAGGACCGGGATTGGGGGCACCAGGGACCTGCCAGTCATAATTTGAATGTGGGTTACCATTTTCAGGCCAGCCTGGAGAGTACAGAGAGTATAGTTTTAACTTCTCTGAGGAAATAAGCAGTAGATCTCTCAAAAAAAGAAGGTGAGGATCCCCACCAACAGGAGGGGATCCTTGAGGACAGGCCAACCCCCACGCCCATCCTCAAACTTCTCCACTGACCTTGAGCGCCTCTGTCCTGTCCCACCAGTCTGGGAGGTTTCATGGATTAATGGACTCACAATCTTTTCGGTCATGTCCGTGAGCACAGTGAAGGTCGGTTCCACAATGAAATCAATAAAACCTGCAGAGAAACAGCAATGCCTCAGAGGAACTACAGAGTCAATGGGCTGTTCCACGTTCCCCAGGGGAAACTGGTGAGTCTTTTCTGTCTTTTAAAATTCGTCTGTACAGGAGCTAAAGATCAGATTAAGAGCCAGCGGGTCTTGTTCGTTTAATAGATTCCTTGATTTGAATGCCATGAGTCAGTTCTGTGTCTCCTTCCTAACTTTATGGCTTTTCAATAGGAAATACAATTAAGTACTTTAAAATACATATTCAGCACCTGCTGTGTAATAAGCAGTGTAATAGGAATTGTGAGAAGAATAACAGCACCGGCCTGCCCACAAGGAATTTACAGGAGAGATTAAATGAACACAAAGATGACCCCAAGGAGCATTTGGAGGGCCAGAGGAGGACAGATGAATACTCCTGGGAAGGTGAGAGAGAGGGGACACTGCCCTCCGCTGACAGACCTGTGAACATCTTTATGAGGTTGTAGTGTTTGAGCTGAGGGCTTAAGAATGGGTGGAGAGGAAGACAGGGCCACTCATTCTGGGTAGACAGGGTGGGGTTAGTGAAGTGGCAGATGGGACAGTGCAGGAGGTGTTGAGCAATGTTTGGGGGCTTCTGGACTCTTTTAGACTTAAGAAAAGAAAGCTCAGAAGGTAGATCACCCATTGTTCAGGAAGGGGGATTCCTAGGGAGCTGGGACCTAACAGGGCACTGGAAACCCCTGAAGATGTCTGAGCAACACTGTAATAAGATTTTCAAAATGTTCTTTGGGAAAGTTAATATGGCAAGATGGATGGGAGGGGAGTGAGCCACGTGAAAGTTGGAAGAAAACTAATATCAACCAAAGGATATTTTCCCAGTGGATATCTGGAAATGTATGAATACATATTTGGTTTTCACCATGATGGACATTGGGGTGATACCAGTCTTTGATGCTCAGCAGTGAAAGATGCTAAAAATTCCTACCATGGAATTGACAAAACAAGAATTGTCCTAACCACGTATCAGTAGTATCCTGATAAACACTGAAAGCCACATTTGTGTTCGTTAATTATAGTATAATGTTGAGCTCAAACTCAAGTATTTGATGGTCCCATTATGACTTTTCCCCCAAGTTAAATGCAACATATCCAAACCAAAGCTAACATATTAGCTTTTCCTCCAACCTTGTAACTGAGATTGAGGTTCAACCACGTACTCTAAATTCCCTCCTTTCCCAGAACTTTGTATTCAGCCAAATCCTTCTCACTTGGTATGCCATCTTTACTCTGGAGAGTCCCTCTGGAGAGTCACCAACTCAGTTCTGACAAGCCTCATCTTTTCCTCCCAGTCCTGCAGGAGGCATCCAATGGGTTTCCTCACTGCTATTCTTAACCAAAACCCTCCAACTCATCCTCCCTACTACTGGTGGGGAAGTGTTTCTAAAAGAGGGTCAGCAAACTTTCTGCAAAAGACTAGAGGGTGACTTTAGGTTTTGTAGGCCACTCGTCTCTATTAAAACCACTCAGCTCTGCCGCCTGTAGTGCAAAAGCACAGGCAATATGTAAATGAAGGGGCATAGCTGTGTTATAATAAAATTTATTTACAAAAACAGGTGGTGGATCCAATTACGCCCACAGGCTAAAACATGAATTTAAGTGTTATTTAACCTTGCATTAAATTCTTTAGGTAGATCCTCATTCTGGACAGAAAGTGTAGGCATGTGCTATTCTTAACGCAATATAAAATCTGGGCCTGATTTTCTCTCCAGACATGTCCTTTGCTGCATCCTACTCCCTTCCTACTGCTCCTGCCATATGGAGCTGTTTAGAATTCACTGACCACAATTTATCTTCTCTGTTGTATGTCCTCCTGGACTGCCGTCCCACCCACCCCTAACTCATCTCTAATACGATTCACTATTTGCCTAGATAACACCGGCTTACTTCCCAGGATGCAGCTCAATGATTTCTCTCCAGTAAGTCTAGAATGGACCACTGGGTCTAAGGGTTCCCACACTCTATTTTGTACTGCGAGGTTCAACATTCAGAAATCTACCTTAACATATTAATGCTCTGAAAGATTTTTGTTTTTATAACATCTTACCCACTCCCCCCTAACTGATTTAATATCTTGGAAGACAGATACATATATCACTTGTCTTTGATTTTATAATGTCTATTTTAATGCATAGCAGTGTCTAATACTTGACAGGATTCAAGTTATATTATGAAAAAAAAATGAACAAGGATTCAAAATACAAGTAGAAAAATTGATAAATGCTTATTAAATTTATTTTTTGAATGATTTCACTCTTCAAGGTGGAGATTACTGATGATATTTAATGTATGCATTACATTTAATTTATGGATGGCACTGCTACCACCGCCCATAGCTGAAGATTTTTGCTATACAAGTAATGTAGTCATTAACAATACAAAAGTGATCCTCACCAAAAAGTAATGTTTTGTTTAGTTTAAAAAAAAAAGAAAAGGAAGGAAGAAAAATATTTGAAGAGCTATTCCTGGAAGTAGAGTCATCCAGAAAATGGGTCCATCCTAAACACTGAACTAGCAGTAGCATCACGAGGAGATATGCCATAGAGACTTCTAGTGTTGTAAGCAGGATGGAAAGACTAAGGCAGAACTTGCTTCCTGACAATGACTCATCATTTCCTTAGAAAGCTGAAACCCCTTTCTTCATGGCAGGGAACATCAGAGATACCACAGTGTCACTGTCTGATCTCCCCAGGAACTAGCCATATTCCAAGCAGAGGAATGAAGAAGCTCCATCCATCCAAGCAGCCAAAGCCGATGGCACCGCATGGCAGAACAGAGCCAATCTCCTGGCCAAGGAATCACATAGAACATCTCTGCTGAACTTCCAGAGACTTCCCAGCTGGTGTTTCCTGCTGTCCAAATGGCTGGCAGACACCTACCTACTTGTGACTGAGCAACCATGGTCGACTTCCTGTCACACAGAGGAGAAAAAGGCAGCCCCAGCTCTGCTTCTCTGTCACCCTAGAAAAACAGGAGGTCATGGTAAATTAAAGAACAGTAGGTCGAGCGGCCCAGATTTTATTTAGCAACCTGCCACTTAGGCCATTGGGTTTTATTTTAATTATTACAATTACGTTATGTAATATGTTCTTATGGGTTCTGCTCATCTGCATAAAAGACACCAAGAAGCCAACGCCCTCTGGGGTCCAATCATTACATCCAGCTACAAAGGCTCATGCTGTCACAAAGGCTCATGCTGTTGGACAGCAATTGGTTCCCTGTGGAAAATAAGGCAATGGGCCATGTGTCCTACGGCCTGGAGCCAGCTCTGTAGTCAGAACTACTGTGTTTTCCCAAGTTTTCCTGTGTCTGTGACCTTTCTCTAGCCCTAGATCCCCTCCAAGCTATGGGCAGTGTCCAACTAAAGTTCAAACTGTACTGATTCAGTTTTGCCTGTTAGTGCTACTTAAAGGTGCACACAACTGGAATAAGTGCTCCTGCGCTTGTAGGCTCAGGGCTCTGTTGACAATGAAAAGGGGAACTACGAAGAACCAGAGTAGCTGGGCTTGGTGGCCCACGCCTATGATCCCAGCGGCTCAGAGACTGAGGCAGAATCACAATTTGATAAGCCAGCCTCAGCAAAAGTGAAGCGCTAAGCAACTCAGACCCTGTCTTTAAATAAAATACAAAATAGGGCTGGGGATGTGGCTCAGTGGTTGAGTGCCGCTGTACTGAACAAGAAAATAACAAACAAAAAACCCAAAAAAACCATAGTAAGTAACTATCGAGTTAGACAACAATAAAGCATAATTGTCTGACCGATATATTCTCAGTCTCACCAAGAATCATCACTATAATAAATAAGTGCTTTGGAAAAATCTGTGGATGGAGATGATTTTTAAAAACATGGGTCAGAAGCTCAATATTCCAGTCACATCAGTGAAAATATGTCACCCTTCTTCCAGGAGTGAAGTCACTCTCTTTCATTTACCAGGAAAAAAACCTGCCACAGGAATGGCTACCAGCTTATGCTTGAATCCTGCCCCTCTCCTGGGAGACATGTGATCTTAGGAAGCTTAGGGTTCCTTCCTAAATTTCAGTGTTTTCATCTGTTAAATGTGGGATAGTAGTCACTACCTCATAGAGTTATGACGAGGAAGAAAAAGAAAAATGTATGAAAATAAATAGAACTGTTTGAAGAACTATTATTGTTTCTCAATAGTCTCTATGATATTTAAGGTCTAGATTTGAGAAATATTTAGTAAATCTGTTCCATCAAATATACTCTGGCTTGATAAATATTACCAATGAATTGGTAATAAATAAAAGGTAATAGCAACCTGAAAGCAGATCTGGCTCAAAGACTGAATGTGCATTATTTTTAAGCCATGTTATCAAAGAGAAGGACACTAGCTCACACATACACACATACACACACACACACACACATTTAAATCCACTGAAAAAAACAGAAAAGGAGTGGGTGTCTGAAGAAGGTGAACAATGGCTCCTAGTGGGATATGAGGACATGCAAGGGTCTCAGGAACAGTCCTGAAGTGGCTCAGTTCTTTTGTACCCTTTTCCTGTTCAGACACCCAGGGGTGTCTCTGTTTCCTGGCTGAGGGATGCTGTGTCTCTCAAAAAACTTTAGTGGGAAAGTGGGAAAGCTTAGCTAAAACAATTACAATTCTTTTCTTATTTCTACATAGCAGGAACACAAGTTGTTTTGCTGATACATTTTAATGGGACAGAATAAGAAGGTGAGGTGAGGAACATCCTCCACTTGACTTCTAAGAAGCAAGCATGGATTTGGATTTCATTATCCAAAACTTGCATGATATTAAGTAAGTTCTAATTCTGTGGACTTGCTCGTACCCACATCTATGTAGCACTTGCATCTTTTGCTTTTATTTGAGCTGTGTAGACTCAACCATGAAAAGCCTGTTTTAAAACAATGGTCGCTGACTTCCCTTTGGAGGACACATTCACTTATGAACTCTTTAAAAATGTACTGAACCGTAAGTTATGTGGATGAATAAACTTCTACAGGGGAATCCATCTTGATTGATAACACAATATCCTATGACTTTGTAGTTACTGGCCCTTAGGGGATTATTCAACCGCTTTCCTTTTTACTGAAGAGGTCAAATTTCTCAGAAAGTCTCAGTTGTAATAAAAGATTCTTTTTAAAACTAATTCATTTGTTTTTTCTTCTAGGACTACTCAGAAAAATAATTATCATTTCTATGGTAGGGGTTAAGATAACTCCAACTGCTTAAGTCATGCAGTTGGTATGCAGAAGGAAGATATTGAATATTCGATGAATGAATGAAAAGACTAATTTGGTTAGAAACACTTAAATTCCTTTGTCACTGAGACATTTATGACAGGCAAAGTGGAGAGCAATTAGGCAGGTAGCTATTCACCAGACTCCTACCGCTCCTCTGTTTCCTGTTCACAAGACTGTCTACATTGTGCGGAATCTCTTCTGCTTATTGCTAGATAGTACAGCAAGAGGAGAGGGGATGTATTTCCACCATGGTTAGGGCCTGTAAAATCTCCTGTACCTATTTCTCCATATCTTCCCCCTTTTGCTGGCTTGATGTAGACAAGCACAATAGAAGTCCTTTAGATGATAGACTCTGCTTATCATAGAACCACCTGTCAATCAAGAGACACTTGTCCTGTAACATAAGTGGGTGACACACTTACATTTAGGTGTGCTGCATTACATTTGAAGGTTAGTTTGTTACTGAAACTATATGTAAGCAGCAAACTAGTAAAAAAGAAATAAGAGTCCTTGAATTGGAAGTTCACAGGGAACCTGGCATCTGCCAATGTGAGAACTTCGAAAACAGGTGATATCTCAAGTGAGTCTTTTCAGGTGGAGGGAAGAAAACATAGGTATTTGGGGACTGAACAAAAACATCAAGCTAAACAAAATACAGCAGTGTACCAGGCACAGTGATACACATTTGTAGTCCTAGTACCTCGGAAGGCTGAGGCAGGAGGATCATGAGTTCAAAGCCAGCCTCAGCAACTTAGCAAGGCCCTGAGCAATTCACTAAACAGAATACAAAATAAGGCTAGGGATGTGGCTCAGTGGTTGAGTGCCCCTGAGTTCAACCCCTGGTATTAAAAACAAAACAACAACAACAACAACAAAAATGTGGCATATATACACAATGGAATTTTACTTAGCATTAAAAAAGAACAAAATCATGGCATTTACAGGTAAATGGATGGCCTTGGAGAAGATAATGCTAAGTGAAGTTAGCCAATCCCCAAAAAACAAATGCCTAGTGTTTTCTCTGATATAAGGGGGGTAACTCATAGTGGGGTAGGGAGGGAGAGCATGGGAGGTTTAGATTAATTCTAGATAGGAAGGAGGGGTGGGAGGGAAAGGGAGGGGGCAGGGGATTAGCTAGGATGGTGGAATGTGAAGGATATCATTATACAAAGTACATGTATGAAGACTTGAATTGGGTGTCAACATACTTTATATACAAACAGAGATATGAAAAATTGTGGTATATATATGTATTAAGAATTGTAATGCAAAAAATAACAAAGTACATGTATAAAGGCATAAATTGGCATGAACATACTTTATATACAGAGATATGAAAAATTGTGCTCTATATGTGTAATAAGAATTATGCATTCCACTTTTGTCGTGTATTAAAAAATAATAAAATCAATAAAAAAGAATAAAAAAAGTTTAAACTAGAGTTAGCATAAAACCCATCAATTCCACTCCTAGTTTATACCCCATGAGTATTAAAAACATATGTCCACACAAAAACTTGTATATGAATGTTCACAGTAGCATTGTTGATAATAGATAAAAAGTACAAATGTGCAAGTCATGTTACTTGATAAATGAATAACAAAATATGTAATATCTATATAATGAAATGTTATTCAGCCACAAAGGAATGAAATACTGATATATGTTCTGATATAGATGAACCTTGAAAACATGATGCATTATATAATAAAATCTAGAAAAGGCAAATTCACAGAGACAAAAAATTGATTAGTAGTTGCCAGAGACTAGGGGAAGGAGGAATGGGGAGTAACTACTAACAAGTACTTTTCTTTTTTACAGGGATGAAAACGTTCTAGAATTAGATCATGGTAATGATAATGATTGCATGACTTTGTGGATACGCTGAAAACCATTAAATGGCATCCTGGGAAAGGATGAATTTATGGTGTGTGAATTCTGATTTAATAAAATAAACTCAACAAGTTAGAGAAAAAGTTTAAATATAGTTAAAATTCCCACACTCTATTTTTCTCCCTATTCACAGAGACACCACTGTACTATATGAAAAGAAATGATTTCAGGTTCTCAATAAAAATGAATGTTAATGGCAACTAAAAAAAAAACAAGAACAATCACAACAAAACCAAAATGCAGCAATGTACACTCTCCATCCTCCTCGAGGAAGAGTGCACAAAGATTAGCTATGAGAAAAGTATTGTGCTTTTGGATTTAAGATAGTAAATTTTAGCCCTTTCTTCTAAGAAGTTATCACCTCCAAAATAAGGAGAATAAGAAACAGAAATACAAATAACATTAAAATCTGTAATCTAAATTAAAACTATGTATGGAAGGGTCATCAAATGCTGTGAATATCAAAGAGGGGTGCCGTGAGATACTGAGGCTGGTGGAGGGCAGAGGCTGAATTATGAGCAATCGTACCATAGCTTCCCTCTGATATCTTGGAAAACATAAAGGCACACACATACACCACACACACACACACACACACACACACCACTGCATAGGAATCACAAAATAAACCAAGGAAAATCCCAGGTTGCTTAGAGTACTACTGCTCTTGTTTCCTCCTGGTACAAATCTTCTGCAAATAGGTGGTACAAAAAGAATTCATTTCACTCAAATATAATAATAATAAAATGAAGAAGGAAAAAGAAGGTGGGGGAAAGGAGTGGGAGGAAGAAGAAAAGAAAAAGAAGGAAATGTAACAGAAAGATGAGTATGAGGACCC